ACGTACACTCACATTGCATTGTTCGCTGCAAGTTATTCTTTTATAAATCTGTTCTTGGCTCTCTTTTTTTTTTTTTTTTTTTTTTATTTCAAATGCTGGAGGACAACACTGTTGAGGTTTTAAGTGATGTAAACCAAACTGAAAGCTTGGGTTATCTGTAATGTAAAGCTGTTCACACTGTCACGAAACGATCTCAGTGATTCCAGAAGTTAGTACTTGTAATAAGTTCTTCTGGTTCTAAAGAGAGACAGGATTATATTTACTCTGCCCTTTACCCTAATATTAATTTAAACCAAATTGATTTCAATGTTTCCAGTCCTTAGTCCAGACAAAGCGACTGAGTCTTGGGTAATGTTACGCAATTACACCGGGGCTAGAGAATTTCCTTTCACACGCCAGTGTCAGAATGTTATCTCCTGACCAGACTGTAGAGACTGAGCGGGGCCCTTTTGACCAGGTAAATTGAGTGGACGCTAGACATTGTGGAGCCCAGAGGTCGGAGTTTCGCAAGTCAGTGTAATTCTTGGCAGAACAGGTGTTTGGCAATTAGGAATGTTTGATCTGGGTCAAGTAGTAAACACACTGGCTTCACGAACCGTTTTCACACCGGCTAGTTAGATTCGGTGTAAACTAGATTGGGTCACTTAAGAATGTTCGCTCTAGGGACGTCAGTCCAGAATTGACTGACAGGCCACTTGTTAGCTAATTTGATCTGAGAAGTACTCCGGAGGCGGGGCTTAAGTAATCGTCTTGAGGGTTGGGTAGAACTAAGTAAAGGGAGGAGTTTAATTTGGACAATAGATTGATACTTATACTTCAAGCCTGTGGAATTCCCGTCATTAATCGCAGCCTGCCGGCAAACAAACACAGGTCGACGTAAAGGTATTTTACGGTCGCATTCTGTTTTGGCGATTGATGAAAAGTTCCCAGGTGAATATTAATTTTAATCTTGTATACATAGGTTAGAGAGTTAAGCTTAGTCTATACTACCTTTTCCTAATTTGTCTGCACATTCTGCTTGAAATAGTTCTTTGTGAGTATTCAGTATCTCAGTTAGGGAACTGCTAAACTATTCCTATTTCTGGTATGTTTGTGTCACATGTTTTTCAGTGTGTTTTCGTGTGTATAAAATAAGATGTGAACAATGACATTTGCTATAATGAAATGTAATTATATTGTTTCCATGATGCCCAAATATGTGCAGGGATGCTGTTACGTTTTGTGTGCCCACCATGTGCTCACTTTAGGTGTTCACCTAAACAGGGGATTTATAACCCCAGGGGAAGAATGATGGGTGTACAGTATTTACTGTCACTGAAAGATAATATTCAGGACAGCGTGCACATATAAATTGTTTGAGTTTTCAGCACATAACCTGCCCCACGTGTTGATGTAAAAACAATGATTGGAAGTCTGAGTGAAGACGGACAACAGACTTAGAAAGTCAACTATCATGACATAGCATGAAGAGGGAAGGCAGGATATGTGACGTCCATGTAAGACAAAAGACCTTCAGACTAGACTGGAGAGCATGTTGAATATGAGGAGGAGTGATGGGATATATTCTATTATTATATGTTATATTAATTAATACATGTATTCTTAGTGTAAGTCAAGATACTACACGTATGTGTTTGTTTCCATGATACAGCGCCCATGTGACGATCAGTCCATGAAAGAGACTACATTGTGTTAGACTCGGCCAGCTGGGAACGAGGTGGAGAACGAGGTGGGGACAAGCAGGGACCGAGGTGGAGGACCAGGAGAACTGGGAGGAAAAGGTGGAAGAACTTGACAGTACCCACGGCTGTCAGAGGTTCTATGATAATTAAGTTACGTCTCACCATGTGTTATGGATGTAAACTTATCACCACCATTATCCATTCACTCTAACCTTAGGTGCTCAGTTATCTAGCTGAAGCCCCTCATTATCACCATACCATCACTATCTATTATAACAATAATGATGACTAATGTCATACTCTGATTGCTAGGTTAATAAATCAAATATATGGTCTTATCCTACATCGTTTGTTAAATTCCAAGTGTATTCAGTCTTACCTGTTTAAATAAACTGATAGATAGAATAACATTTGGTGGGGGCTCAATTAATATGATAATAATTCTTTAATTATTCATAATAACACCGGGAGAAGGTAGATGACGGAGGAATCACTTGCCCTGTCTAATAATTTATTTAGTATAATGATAGACATCTAAAATTCCTTTCCTTCTCTTGTGGGTACCAAGTTCAGCCTATGTTAATGTACTTAACGAGCCAATATGGCTGTTTTCTTGGATATCCAGGACTTTGTCTGAGAGCAACATAGCTCAGATTTTAGTTCGGTGTATCTGGTGGAGGGAATGTGTTGAGAGGAACATCCCTACTCAACATTAATAAACATTTAAACCACGCGTCACGTCACACACACAAATGTGAAGAGCTGAACAATTTATGTTCAGATCTGTACGACTCAGACTGGGTTAGCTTAACCTCCGGTTTGCTAGAAATAGCACACATTTTTCAAAAATTTGCTACAGCTTCTAAGTTTTACAATAGTCGCTGTGGCGGAGCGGCTTGACGCTCGCTGCAGATCGGAAGGTTGTGGGTTCACCCCCTGGGCGGAGCCCGACTTTTTTCAAAAATGACCTTGGCTTCCAGGTTGACCCAGCCTTGAGTGGGTACCGGGTGCAGTCTCGGGAAGTAAAGGTGGCCAGCGTGATGTTGACCACATCACCCATCTTGTGCCGATTGGTCTATAAATATACGGGACTAGCCCTATATGCCCTATACCCCTAAAGGCATGGAAAAGGGTCCATTACTGTAATTAAAAATGCCGTGCTTGCATAGAATATTTTAAAGCTATAAATAATAGTTACTAATACTTGGTGTATGAATGAAATGATGTATGAATTGAGGGAGAATAGAATGGTAGATGGTAGACAGGTCTGCATGACCAATCATTAATGCTTTGAAAATAAAGTTTATTCGTTCATAGCCTGAATTACTGTGTCACAAAATTATCTTTGTCTAAAAACATGTAACGGCAAAAGTGGTCCTGAAATCCATTTTCGAATGCAATCAGGTCTTAAGTATGTGTCATTCACATGACAAGAGTGAAAATCTCTGCCTTAGATTGCCTACAATCCTTCATTTTCCAAGTGTGACCAAGCCATCTGAGCCTTTAAAGACTGAGCACTGAGACTGCTCTTTCCAATACCTAAGTGTTTATGATCTTGTATTGCCTCTTAGTTCATTCATTCATTGCCTTGTTGTACATGTCACATAGGCCTCCCAGGCTTATCCTCCATTATAAACCTTCCAGTGCAATCACTTCAATATCCTGAACAGAGTCCAGTCCAGCATCTCTGGCTTCTTCCATCAATGTTCACCTTAAAGTTTCTCTTGAATGTCCTCGAGTCCTCAGTCCCTCTATTTCCTATTCCAGTGCCTGTTTGGTGCTTTTCAGAATGTGCCCAATACAGTGCCATCTTCTCTTGTCTTATAAATGTTAACAACAGTGCTTACCCAGACATCTCTCTAATTTCTTCACTCCTCTTGAATTCATCTTGCCTCTCAATGCCCAAGTAAAATATTAACTTTAAAGTAACCGTCAGAAACCCACGAGTATAAACCGTCAAAGTCAGGGACCTGTTTTCACACCATGAGATATGCTTTGTACAAGGTGCTAGGCCCAAATGTTTCAATCAATCAACATTTAGTGGATAATGTGATCACAATCACACTGGTCACCTTTAAGTCCCCTAAAAACTTTCCAGTGTCCACTTTAAGCCGGAGAAGCCCAGGTCACCAGACAAAATGTCCTTTTCTTGAAGAGGATTCTATAATATGATTATTTGCCTCATAAGCCTTTAAAAACACAAATCCTAATTTACACTCACACAAAAAAAAAAAACAAAAACACTGTCTCAAGATGTACTTAGCATCATATTTACAGAAATAAATATATTATACAGCATACCTTTTGATAATATAACCAATGATTTTGTGCATCAAGGAAATCAAGAAGAAATGTTTTATGTTTAACTGAGTTTTCTAGAGGATTACATATCATTTATCTCCTTTTGCAAACACATTCTTTATTATTTCTTTTAATTAAAATTAAACAATAACATATGTCCATCATCTATATATTTAAAAGATGTATATATTTTTGAAGCTTTCTGAATAGCTGGTTAATTTAAAATGGCAGGGGTCTCAGGGCTTTGTTCAGCTTAGGGCCTCATCAAATCTAAATCTAGCCCTGGTGACGTCAGTTTATTACTGATTATCAAACGTTAAACAGTTATAAACTAGCACTTCCAATTTTTTTTAAATAAGAGACAAGAAGAAATAGATAAATTCTACAAAAATACTTCTAAAACTCATTTTAAATTCAAGTATAACCCTCGTGTGGGTTCCAGGGCCCTATTATAGGGAAAACAAGAATAGAACCACTGCCTACGCAAAAGCATGCCGTAAAAGTCAAATATTTGGGAGCTTCCTTCGAAGTTGGAGAGAGCATCTGCCTGAGAGGCAAGGAACGAACAGTGCATATAAATGAGTCAGATCTGTAAAACAGATGCACACGCACCACTCAGGTTCTGGAACAGGACTGCAGTCTATAAGTGGACGAACAGTTAGAACTTTCTGCCAGAGTCACAGCTGGTGAACGCGAAGAAGAAGAAGAATTCAAGTATCCTCTTTCTTCACACTTTTCGTAAAATGAACACTAACGGTAATGCCCCTACAGATTATCATCAGGTAAATACACTTATTTATATTTTATTTTTATAACTATTTGCTATTTGCATATCTGAAATGAGTTGCACAGAAATATAGGTACCCAGCTATCATTTGTTCACAGCTCTCTTGCATTCACTTTCTTCTGCGGCGAAAATATGTTCAAAATGTTAACAAAGATTTATCAAAATTTCTTTTAAAAAAAAATTTGTTGCAAAATCTCCACTTTTAATATATGCATCAATCCAAATACACATTACATGTAACCGATGACAATAGCATCGACCAATGACCCCTTCTTTATGCAGCTCAGTGTATCTGAGATAGGTGGCAGCACCATCAAGACACTGGCAGAGCTCATGCTCAGCAGACGGGAGCTGATCTGGTTGCCAGTTGTGTGTGCTGTAGGTGCAACCTCTCCTTTGTCAAATGTAAGAACTGCTCGGTGGTACTCTGGTCTGGCGTCCAGTGCCAAGTCTTGATCGACCTAGAGAGGAAAAGCTTCACGTAATTTGGTTTGATTTTAAAGGTTTAAAGTCGAGCATGTGATACATAGTAGTAGCCTTTTTCACAAAAATATCCTGTTCAACCCTGAGGGTTATAATTAGGATACAAAGTGTTCATTGAGTGTCCACCTGACTTAACCTTTCTACTTCTTTTCTCTTGCCCCCCTGTTCTGCTTTCTAGCTAGCATCAGGTTCATTACCGGTCTGTGGTCACTTACCACAAGGATCGGTCAATGTCTCTTCTTTGCCTCTTCTCTGAGCAGGTTTTTATCTTCTGCATGCTTGCTGGGCCTATCATAGTTTCAGGGAGTATTAAACCAAGTGGATTCCTGGCCACTTTGAAAGCCACAGCCCCATTAGCCTATGATCCCATGGCCTCAGTTTTCCAGTGTGCCCCGTTGGAGGTGGGGTTAATTTGGGTGCCAATATAGTCTTTGGTAGGCTGGACATTTTCAGCTTTCCTCCTTCCAAGAAAGAGCTACACAACCTTGATACTGCAGACTAGCATATGGATATCCCAAGCTGAATTCTAACCTGAACTAACAATACAGAAGGCTAGGAAATTCAAAGAAAGGAAAGGCAGACACAGATACAAGCAAACTCTCAATCAATGTCTTTATCACTGATTAAAATCTTATCACTTATCACTGATTAAAATAACTATAATCTCACATCACCTACTTACTGAAAACAATTACACAGTAACAAACATGGTAAAAAAAAAAAAGTGAGAATCTAGGAATAAGATTTTTTTTTTAAAAGAATCCTTGTCTATGCTGGACAAGGTAATGCCGGACATTGACTCCTGCTGGCTATAAAAAAAAAAAGTAAACTCCTGGTGATCATCTCCCTCATTTATACTTAACAGAAAAGTTCTTATAATAGGGCAAGCTTTTTTGTTTTGAATTTCTCTTTCTTCTCTTTAGTTCTATACAGTTTTGAGTACGGCTGACCCACTGGGCCTGTATTCCTATGGGCTGTACACCTGCAGGTGCGGGGGAGTCTTGCAGGTGCGGGGGAGTCTTGCAGGGGAGGGGGGGGGGGTCCTGCAGGAGCGGTAAGTTCTGCACAGTCCACGCGGGAACATCGATTAACTTGTCAGGTGAAGCATCTAAACTACGAAATAGGTAATTTTCCAAGGAAAGAACAGTGGCATGATCGGCAGCACAAGATTTAATGTAGTGACAAAAGTGTTACGTCACCTAAGTAGTCCGGGCTATTAAAACTGTGAAAGTTAGGGCTGTTGTGATGTGTATAAGGAGTGTACCTTACTTCGGGGGCCCGTCGGCTCTAGGCTGGTTTTACAGACCCTTTCCCGAGACGCATGTCACACGTCCCCATCGTGCACCACGGACGGTGTTTCCTCTCTGTGACCTGAACCAAGCTGACAGGGAATCTCGGACTAAAAGCACTCTAGAGATGTAGTGTCAAGTCTGTGTGAAAACGTCTTTCGAACCCCATTTGGAACATGGGTAAAGTCCACAAGCCGAACATACCACTAAATGACAACACTTGCTTAAAACCTCTATCGCGTGGGAAGAACTACTGTACTGCTGAGATTCAACCCTATAACATGAGATCTTCTCGCAGCCTATGCGAGCAACATCTCTTGCGGGCGGTAACTCGCGGAACAGTCTTGACTCCGTACATCTCTTGTTTCTCAACGCTGTCGTCACCGCGCCGAGGTACACTACGACAATCTGCTACTATCTGAGAGCGTATCTGACATAAACGTCCGTCAGACACGTGTCCTATAGCAAAGCAACAAAGTCCCGAAAGTCCGGCTGAAAAAAGACCTAATAATTGGCAGAAAGGTTCACAAGTTCCTTATCATTGACCCCACTCGCCAGAGTGTCAGGACAAAAAAGGAGAAGCCGTGCCGGATGCAAGCTTTTGCCGTACTGCCTCGCTAAGTTTCCAGGCGAAACAATATTAAAGGTGTCTAAGGTACCGAAGAAAAATGTACCTATTTGTGTAGCCGACCTGCCGGCGGCTTCCTGCTGGTAAAAAAAAGGTAAAGTCGGGAGATGTGAACCAGCTTCATTGCACACGGTTATAAGCCATAAGTGCTCTGCCACCAGCACAGAAAGCTGATTAAAAACTGTCCTTTGTGTCGCCGTCCGCACGTAACTCCGTAGCTACAACGACATTCCTCCATTTACCCTAGAGTGTCATCTCTGATACCCATTTTCTAGAGGCTGTGTGAACCCCGGGAACCGCCCGGTTTCGAACACCGACCGTGGGCTGCAGCGAGTCGCAGCTGGATTTGAAAGCGAGTCTCGTATCGACTTCGCTAACGCGATGGGTCTCCGGGCGATCGAAATGCCCAACATAGAAATGTGTCCGGTTAGTCATGCGCAGGACGTGACGATTAACTGGGCGAGCCCAGGACCAGAACGTCATATGGCGACTCTGCATTTAAGAAACCCTCCTTGAATGGCGGGGAATGGCCACGATCTACCCTGTCTATACGCGGATGCCCTGGACGGGGTCTCAAGGGACAACAACTGTAGATAAGAGGACAGAGAACACCACACACAAAAAAGGTCACAGGAAACTATCCGGGAAGTTAACTCGTTCAACCCGCTGGATAAAGTCCTATGTCTCCGCCGAAAGGCCCCAATATAGCAGCTCTGCTGTAAACAGGCTAAAACCCAATTTCGTCATTCCGACGAACGAACAGAAGAAACTGCGAGAGACTGATCTAGGAGCGAAATGTAAGATGTTTATTGAATTGGTTTACTAACTTACTCTAAGTTTCACTGCTATATTGCATGTACCTTTTGCAAGATGATGGCATAAATCAGCATGCCAGATTCTCATGTGAGTGTTTCCCTAATCTGAAACATACCATTTCGATACTATTCAAGAATAAACTAACCTTGCAAACAGACTACTGTACTTTTCACAACACCGCCAACAAACGTAAAACAACATAAACTTTACAAACAACAGATATTCTTGCCTTGACTTTCATGACAGTTCTCTGAGCTTGGAGACAACCAGACATCTTTCGCAAAGCTGGGATCACATATAAATTGCAGGTAACTAAAGCAGACACCGGATTGCCAGGTAGGCCAAATATTAGTTTTGGCTTGCCTTTGTGCTCCATTGTGGCAAACGTTGTTGGCTTCCTGTTGGAGCAAATAAAATTGTGTAAGTGCCGGTGAAGCCAATTTAACTGTCGTCTGCACACCCGCACTTCTGTGCCAGCTGTTTGTAATGGTCTATAAATGAGAAAAACGCCAGGATTGCATTTTAAATGACAAATGATCTAAAGGATATCCCCACTTTGTGGTTTATCCATATACTCAGCAGCATAAGATCGGATGCTCGAAGAAGTGTAAAGCACAAAGGTGAGCTAAAACCGGCTAAACTAGATAACAGACAGTACTAACTCCTCTTGTTCTTATTGTGAAGAAGACTCTCTGGGATCAGATAAACAGTGCAGCAGAACAGACAGAGCATCCATATCAGGAGAAAATGACTCAGCTATGAGCAGAGTGTCTGGTCCATTTCCTACCCAGATGGGGTGAAGGTTTAAGGGGGAGGGGGCGCGAACTTTTAATCAGCTTGCAACTGGCATCACAAGTATAGGAACTGAGTTGAGGTGAGTCAAAAATTCATCACAGCAAATGCATGCTGTCCTCACTTCAGCATGCGAAAGTTCCAATACTGATAGTAAGTGTAACTAGCTATCGAGCTAATCATGAACTGATGGGAAATGCCAGTATTCATACAGTACGTTTATAGTACAGTACTGTTTATACATATATATTGTAATATGTCTCCTCCACAATCAATCTCTCTCGTGCAGATTCAACACTGACTCTGTTGTCTAGGTGCTAGGTCACAGTTCATTCTAGCCAGAAGGCACTTCTCTCCGCGGCCACACAACTTTAAACGACGGTCGACAACAGCTGACGCATTTCACAGGTGTATTGTCAATGTAACACAAGCGACAGGAATCAACAGATGAACTAACTTACGCCATTCGGACAATCTCGCCTTGCTCACACATTGAGCCTCTAGCCATGCTTCAGACAATGGACACTGGCATGTACACGACTGGCTCAACAAACATACCGTGAAACACAACGGCTGGCCTAAACGACCATTCAATAGCGCTGCCTGTCTTGTCGTTCAGCACTAACATTCATTCGACTCTGATTCAGATCCACGTGTGCACTTCTCACTTTGGATTCACCTTCACAGATTCAGCTTCACATCCTTTGAATCTGGGACCCAGTCACCGAATGACCATCTCATTCTCAATCCCCAGATCTCGCATTCACACATGACTCACTCACTCTTGTCTTTTCACCATATTTCCGTGAAACCCATGCTATCAGGGACTTACCCAATTCTGTCAGTCATACCCTGACGTTATCCCTATTTATACAACATTATTTAACGTATATATATATATATATATATATATTATATATATCTGGGAGAATGTATATATATATATATATATATATATATATATATATATATATATATATGGATATATATTCGACAACTCTGAAAAATGTAAACTGAACACATCAGAGATAATTTATTATCTCATCGTGTTACACACACACACACACACACACACACACACACACACACACAAACACACACACACACACACACACACACACACACACACACACACACACACACACACACACACACACACACACACACACACACACACACACACACACACACACACACACACACACACTAATCACACACACAGAAGGACACACACACACACACACACACACACACACCCGTCTAGAGATCTCTTCCTGTCCTGACACACACACACACACAACACACACACACACACACACACACACACACACACACACACACACACACACACACACACACACACACACACACACACACCACACACACACACACACACACACACACACACACACACACACACACACACACACACCACACACACACAACACACACACACACACACACACACACACACACACACACACACACACACACACACACACACACACACACACAAAAGACACAACTGGAATAATAAAGTTACGACGCTTAATTACCGACACTACGAAGTTCTCGTAACCAGTACAGTCTTGTTGTTAGTTGTGTATCTTTTACAGGACGTTGCAGAACCAATCCCAGCATTGGCTGTTTGGTTTTTTCCTAGGCAAAGTTACGTCCAGTAGTTTGCCATTGCTTTCTGGACGGTCGGCTTCTCGATACCACAGTCGAAACCAACTCAAGGCGCAAGGCCCGCAGCTGGGATCAAACCCAACCACCCGGCATTACGAAGCGCGTGCTCAACGCCTTAGCCACAGAAGCCGACAGTACAGTCCTCGGAGGCCGAATTAGCCCCACAAAAACGAGATCCCTGCAGGTTACATCAGACTGGGCTGGCCTTTAGGGGTGCTCCAATTATAAGTTACTTTGAGACTGAATGGGAGTCGACGTGGCGATGGTGGTTAGACGCCCGCCAGTGGGTCGGAAAGTCGTGGGTTCGGGTCCTGACGGAGCCGGAATTTTTTTTTTCTTTCAAAAATGACACTGACTCCCAGGTCGACCCAGCCTTGAGTTGGTATCAGGTACCGCCCTGGGAAGTAAAGGCGGCAGGCGTGATGGCTGACCACATCACCCACACAGTGCCGATTGATCTATAAAAATATCAGTCTAGCCCTATATTCCCAATACAGCTAAAGACGTGGAAAAGGGACCTTTTTCTTTTGTAAACTCTGAGAATGAACGGGGTACCACGATTGATCTGATGATCTATAGTTGGGACTGAGAATTTGTAACCTCAAGGATGCCAAACGTTCAGGCTGCAGCCCAAAAATTGTGGGGGGACAAAAGGAGGGAACAGGGGGTTGGGGGGGGGGGGGGGGCGCATACATAGCCTGATCCTGTTGGTAACTGAAATATCTTACTGTTGCCGGCTACATCACGTGTTGAGTTTCGGTTGGTCATACAAAAAGCTGAAGTAGGAAAAGATACAGAATACACTAGAGCAGTGTCCCCTAATATAAATATTTTACACGGCTAAAAGGGGTTCCCTCTGTGGCTAAGTCGATGCGAACGCTACCTAATGCCGGATTAGATCCCAGATGCGGGCCATGCGCCTTGCGTTGGTTTCGACACTGGTATCAAGAAAGCCGACCGTCCGGAAAGCAATGGCAAACTACTGGACGTAACTTTGCCTAGAACAACCAAACAATAGCCAGGGGCTGTTGGGGTTGGTTCTGCAACGTCCTGTAAAGGATACGCAACTAACCTGTTTAAAAGGGGTTTCTGTGATTTGTTGTTTTCGTATTACAATAGGGTTCTCGGCGTCTTTAGGCGTTAATCTTTTAAGCGGCAATTTAAGAGAAGGCCAGTTTAACTTTGAATTTAAAAAAATTTAAAAATTAAAATTTAAAAAATTCACATAAAAGAGCAGGGCTTTGCCTGGTTGAAAGCTGACGGTTCTTGTCCGACAATCGGAAGCACAAAGCTGGACACTTCTACAAGAATTTTTGGTCTTCAATGGTTTTGCGCTTCATGGGTAGTGCGGTCGGTTTGCTTGTCTGGAATTCACCTGTTGCTTCACTTCAAAACGTTCGTCTAAAGGTTTCTTTGCATGTACTCGTTTCCACAATCCATTCAAGTGCATGTTTGGTGATTCCTGAACGATATTGATGTCATTTCAACCACCACCACCACCACCACCACCACCACCACCACCACCACAACACCACAACAACAACAACAACAACGACAACAACAACAACAATCTGCACTGAAAAGTGATTCGACAACAAAATCACCGGGTAAGGACGTTATTTAAGCACTAAAACTAGCGTTAACTACTCCCATATTTCTCCACGACTATCAGGTCAACGGACTGACCCCCACATGTGTTTCCTGTAGGTCTCGACAATCGAAGCAATGGTTAATACATAGGTAGCAGATTCCATATATATTTTCATACAGGATAAACAAAACATCCCAGCCTTACGGGGAACAATAAATCAAACCAGGGGGGGAAAGCAACAACTACCAGGGGGCTGTTTGATATAACCACGCCAGGGTGTGGTTGGTTATTGAAACCAAACAGGTGGTCGGGTAGCAGCTGAGAGGCGGACACACACATACACATACAGAGAGAGAGAGAGAGAGAGAGAGAGAGAGAGAGAGAGAGAGAGAGAGAGAGCGAGAAGAGAAAGAAAGAAAGAAAGAACGAAAAAAGAGAGAGAGAGAGAGAGAGCGAGAGAAGAAGAAGAAAGAAAGAAAGAAAGAGAAAGAAGAAAGCGATTCGAAAGAAACAGAAAGGAAAGAAAAGAAAAAAAGAAAGTAGTCGAAAAGAAAGAAAGAAGAAAGAAAGGTGGACACACACATAAGAAAGAGAGAAAGAGAGAGAAAAAATGAAAGAGAGAGAGAGAGCGAGAAGAGAGAGAGAGAGAGAGAGAGAGAGAGAGAGAGAGAGAGAGAGAGAGAGAGAGAGAGAGAGAGAGAGAGAATGGGCGGTCTGCCTCAAGTGCGATTCGTTACAGAATCCATAACAGGTAGTCGGCTGTCAGCTAAGAGGCGGACACACACATACAGACACAGAGAGACAGAGAGAGAGAGAGAGAGAGAGAGAGAGAGAGAGAGAGAGAAGAAAGAGAGAGAAAGAGAGAGAGAGAATGGGTCGGTCTGCATAAAGTGCGATTCGTCACAGAAACCACGCAGGTAGTCGGCTGTCAGCTAAGAGAGAGAGAGAGAGAAAGAGAGAGAGAGAGAGAGAGAGAGAGAGAGAGAGAGAGATAGAGAGAGAGTGGAGAGGGACACGCCTACACACACGCACGCGTGTGCGCGCATAAAAAGAAAAAAGAGACAGTGAAAGAGAAATGGCCCGCCTTAGGGGCGGTTCTTTAAGAAGCCACACAGGTGGCTGAGGTGGCAGATGATAAGAGGCGTGAGAACAGCAGGAGGTAGGTGATCAATGCCTGGAATATGGCTTTGCGTGTACGAAAGTATGAGGGAATTGGGGGGGGGCGGGGGAGGTAAGAGTGAGAGAGATAGACGGAGAGAAAGAGAGAGAGAGAGAGAGAAGAGAGAGAGAGAGAGAGAGAGAGAGAGAGAGAGAGAGAGAGAGAGA